GCGAGGAGAAAGCTGAAGACTGGCAGAGTGGGTTGGAGATTTGTAAACTCTGCAGTCTCTTCCTACTCTTCTCGCGAGTAAAGCTAAATTAATTGTCTCTGTGCTTCTTTCTTTCCCCGTATGTATGTATGATGTTTTAGGTGCTTAGACCTGACAGTCAGCTACATAAACTGTCTCTCTGCAGTCACTCCTTGTTGGTTCTTTGTTGTTGCTGGTCCTGTCGTCGCTGTTCTGTGCTCACCTCGTCTCTCCCTGGCTACTTGTGCGTGTTTTCCCCTGATGTCTCCATGGTTCTGGTCTGTGTTACATTTTTAGTTGGATTTTTGGATTTTGCCTCTGTTATTATTGTTTGCATTAAAACTACAAGAAATCACCGCGGCCCGGTGGTTGGGGACCGCTGCTCTAAACCACAACCAAAACATGACATTGACACATAGTCAGGATTTTTTTGAGGTGCATAACGACGGTTGCAGAACCTCTGCACAGGGGCGCTTTCAGGCACTGTGACAGATTTGACGGTTGCAGAGGCTATGCGTCAGAAGCATAATTTGGCCTTTGTCCCCTTTTTGCTCCCCGGGCGCCACACAGTGGCATCCCGCTGCTCCCCAAGGGGATGTGTCAAAATGCAGAGAACGAATTTCCGCATTGTGGGAAAATAAAGGGATTTACATAACTGTAAGACTGCAGCACCAGGCACCTTTGAATGGGTTGTTATGCAACAAAGTTGTTGTGCTGTTTACAAAGAGAAATAAAGGCCCTCTGATTGTGATTTACAAACTGTTAAAAATGATATCTTGTTTCTTCTAAATCATTCTATCAGACTACTTGGTTTGGGAAATCTCTCTCCACCTTTCTGCTACTTCATGTTTAAAAGAAGAGAGATTCATGTGAGCTGTTGTTTCCTCTAACCTTCCCTGTCAAATCCACTGGCTCCCTGTCCCCCAGGACAATCTCAACTGCCACACCAAGGCGCCACACGGCACCTTGACATGAAACCTCAGGCCTTGTAAAGGTGTCAGTGCTGTAGCTGCCTCAGCTATTGCATGATCAGAGCAGCTCTTCTTTGATTTGCCAGAGTTGTCCTGCTGAGGGTTCTCCGCATGTAACATTCTGACATTTTGATGATACGCTTCATGCTGTATTCCTCCTAATTTCAGATGTTGAGTTGAGGGGTAGAATGATAGGCGAGTAAGTGGGAGGGAAAGAAATCCAGAGGATTTTTTTAGTCAGCATCTACCAGGAATGAAAAGATGGCAAAGGGTCTCATCTAAAGTGATTAAAACTGTCTCGCTTATCTTCTTGCAAAACAAGATTTTGACCTGATTTTTTTTGGGGATCTTAGGATCACAGCCAAAGGAAGAAAAGGCTGTAGTGAGTGTTAAAAAAAAAGTCTGCTTTGATGATCTGCAAAGGGCACCAGGTGTGAAAACACAGTCTCTGAATGAGACAGAGATAAAAAGCACAGTTTGTTGATGTGTATGTAAAAGGGTATTAACATGTACACAGCTCACAAACTCCAAGGAAATTTGCTCTTCACTCCATCTGCTACTGGGCTAAACGTGCCTCACGTAAACACCTAACTCACTCAGGTCACACACAGAGACATGCATCTATTCTAGAGACAAAGCACACATTTAAATCCTTCAATACATTTAAGGCTTTCAGTCATATATTTCCAATAATAGTGGGTGGGCTCCCCTTGGGTAAACAAGCACTGCACAGGAGGAGCAGGAGGGGGAAAGGAAAGAGGAAGCATAAACATAAGGAATATGCACAAATTAGGCTAAACACAGCAACTTTAACGACACATTTGGAAATCTCCAAAAGTAAAGACGTATACAGAACTGAGTGGTTAATTAACGTATGTTGAAAGGAGGCTCCAGTTATGGTATTATTTAATCTACCAGTAGCCTGAACCTTCTTATTCACACGAAGAGTTCTGACTTCCTTTACAAAGCCGGTAAAGCGTAGCTTATATGTGTCCATGGATTTCAGGCTGTGAAGGTCTCTTCAATTGTATTAGCACTCTTTATTTAATAATTAACTGTAAGACATCAGAGGCTGTTTGTCTGCAATGTGTTTCCAGTTCCCGCAGCAGCTACTTTGTGGGTAAAGTTCGCTTGCATACTAGTGAAGAGTATTAGTATACTTTCTTCTTGTTTATCCAGAAGCAATGACTAGCGTTGACCTTGCCTACTAAGAAGGTGCATGGAGCACTGATATTTTAGACATGTAGCAGCTACTTATTGGACTAAAAAGTATTTTTGTAATGGGGAAATTATACATTGTCATACAAAGAAACATATAAAAAAGGATGGAGTGAGTCTTGCTACAAAAAAAAAAAATAATATTCCTTTTTATCATTACTGAAACAATTATTTGTTTTTTGTAAACATAAAGTGTATATATAAAAAAATATTCTTTATCTTTCAGGGGTTTTACTTTGATTTGGTTCTGTCAATTCAAGTCATCTGCTGATGTAAAATAATGTAAAATCAAAACCTTCTTCATATTCCTGGACGATTCAGAAAAAAAAAAAAAAAAAGTAAAGTGCGTACCTTTTTTTTCCACACAGTTTTTTTTTTCTTTTAGATCTTTATCAAAACAAATCACCCACTATATCCTTTTCAGTAATAATAATAAAAAAATCTTTAGTGGCACTACATCAATATGAACCTATTATCAGCTTTTGAACGTATCCACTGGCTTTTCAAATAATTTTGATGGGTTTTAAGTTTGAGGCAGGAATGCCTCCTTGCCATCACCCTAATCATTAATTCTCAGCACAGATTCTCTGTCAGATTCCAATTTCGATTCTGGCAGCGTTGTTCCAAACTTTACCATAACTTTAACTAAAAGTAAATCTATTGATTGAAAATAAGAGTGGCTTCAATTCTAAATGAGCAAGGACTATAAATGGGCTCCTTCCCAATACTTTTAATGCAGCTCCTACCTCCCGATTCTATCCTTCACCTTTCATGGGGTCAACAATAAGAAAACTACCCAGAGTAGGAATATAGCTCCGGACTGCTGTGCTGAAGGACACGCATACACTATGTTTGTGTAGCAGTGTGTCTATATAAACATGGTTTTTATATTTGGTTTTGTTTAGGATAAATAGATAGTATGATGGATAAATACATGTAGATTACAATTCCTTTTATGTTAAACAAATCCTGCCAAATAAACAAATACCCCTTAATACCAATACATTCATTCTAGATCAACATTT